CTCAACGAATCATCACAGACAGATGAGGATCAGTGCAGATGTCAAACGCAGCTCTGGCACAGCCTCTGTGTTTGGATTTGCTCCCTTCTCCCTGTTCTTCTTCCCTCTCTGCCTCTGCTGCAGGATGACACTCATCCATCATCAGCATTTTAAATACAAGCACATCACTGAGTTTGTCATCCCCCCTTTCCCCCCCTGCTCATTGCAGGGCTTGGCCTCACTCAACCGCCTCCTCACTTTCCACTGCCTGCTGAAGTTGTGTAATCCTCTATTTGGTTTAGTTCCACATGGCTTCCTTGTGCATGGATGAAAGAATCCAATGGGAGACGAGTAAATTGCACTAAATAATAACAGGCGGTTTGCTCTGATAATTTTCATAATGGCACAGGCATACACACAGACTCACATGCATTTATTCATAAATACGCATCCATCTGAACAGTTACAAGCACTAGATGTAAAACTGGAGCAGACCCATAGAAAACAGTAAACCATTGTGTTTTTTACCGGCAGGCGGCGAATCTTAAGAAATTGATCACTATAATTACGTATGTATTCAGATTATCAGATCACTATTTTCCAAAGGTAGCCCATTCCATTCCTTGTCTTGTTCATCTTCACAGCAATCCTGTTTAAAAGGACACAATTTGCCAAGGGAAAAATGAGTCATATGACACCACACATTTAAAGCACATGGATTCTCCCCCAATAATCCAAGGAGCTGTAGTTTGTTAAGGGTTTGGGAATTGTAGCTCTGTAAGGGGTAACCTACAATTCCCAGGATTCCTTGGGGGGGGAGCCATGTGTGGTGGGGATGTGGCATTAAATGTATGGTGGGGGTGTGGCATTAGCAACAGCAGCTTGCCCATGGTCAGCCTATGAACTCATGGGTGAAGTGGGACCAGTCTAGCACCTCAGCCACCGGATCGCTCTAGTCTAGTGGATTCTGGTCTGCATATCAGAACATGAGCACTTACGCTAGTTGTCATTATGAAGGGTCATAGATTGGTGGCAGAGCACATACATTGCAATCAAAATGCCCCAGGTTCAATCCTCAGCATCTCTAGGTGGGGATAGGAAAGATTTCAGTCTGAGACCCTGGAGACTGTTTCCAGTCCATGCAAATGAAGACTTGGTGGACCAGTAATCTGGCTCAGCATCAGGCAGATTCCTATGTTCCTGTGACCTGAGCCCATTGGAATGGACTCCCAGGTTCTAATCTCAGTCAAACTAGGGGTAAGCAAAGAGGAAAAACCAACTGAAACTGTTTGGTTTACACTAGGAGCAATTTTTGGCTGTGGTTCTACCATATATTTAGTGGCTGTTGATGTTTTTGGGTGATGCCATGGCCTCTTGCTAGTGCAACAAAAGTTTATGATAATGACAAGAGAACCTGAGACACAGACTTTAATCTGCTACAAGCTATGCTGGGTCTAGACCCATTGATCTAAAAAGGACCTGACACTCAGATTCTGTTCTCCAACACACCATGCCTCATTTTAGAGTGACCTCCCTTTTCAAAGCTCTAGTCCTGGATCTCAGATTCCAAATCCTCATTACACCAGGTGTAAATCCAAAATAACTCCACTGACTCCTTTGGAATCACCCTGGATTTATGAGGGGTGAAACCGAGCTTACTATCTGTCCTGACTGATTTACGGGTGTAACTGATCTCTGAAATCCTGGCCCAGTATCTTTCCTAGCTGCATATGGAGAACGGCAGACGAAGAGAGGGTTGTTTCGGAAAGTTGGAGCAGAATGCCAGGGACAAGTCATGTCATTGCCTCACTATCCATTTACCAAGGGAGCAGCATTTTGTTGAGCTCCATCGATATTTCATCTCGTCAAATAACTGTGGCTCCATGTCAAAGGAGTTCTTCAGAAAATAAATGGCGGAGGCTGAGGGAAAGAAAGGGAAATAGACATCTCTTATCTAGGAAACTCTTCCCCATAACCTTTCTAGCCTTGCTACCCATATCACTTGTTGGAGGGAAACTCTCCCTTCCTTGAAATAGCTCAATACTTGTTAAAAGAAAGAAAAGAAACCTTACTGTGGTGGTGATGGGGACACACTAGATTTTATCATCAAAGCAAAATGAGCTGGAGCACAGCCTCTGTTGCACACATGACTCCTAACTTCTGATATGTCATGCATGGCTGCTCAGATTTAAACAGAGCGGCTTATTTTAGCTGCAGTTTATCTTCTCTGCGTGCCCTGTTCAAGAGAAAAGGGAGGGAGAGGGTTATTTAAAGGGAAGCCCCTGAAGTGGCAGACCTGAACACTACTAATTATAGAAAGCAGAAGGTGCATTGAAGCTAAAGGAGGGAAACTGTTTTTCTCAGCTAGTGGTCGGGATTGGCATTCTGCGTAGGCAGTGCCTCATTTAAGCTACATGAGGCCTAATGGAAAAGGAGAGGATTGGCCATGTTGGGATAGAAGTCAGGCCTATGGAGAATCATCCTTAACCGCTGGCAGGATGGCAGATCCATGGAGGGCCTGAGGCCTTGGGCTGAGGAGAGCCAGTCAGTTATGTAAATTGAAGCTAATGAAATCCAACCCAGGTGGCATCATTAATTAGAGTAAATCAGCCTGTGTTGCCCTGGTGCCAAAAGAGGGAAGAGATAGTGGGGAGAGTGGGCGGGGGGTGGGCACGGGACAGGAGGACTGAAGAGAAAAGCTTCAAGGAAGCCTGTGTGCCAGCATGCCGTGAGCCTACGGGTATCCATTCAAAATTTAATAGACGTGGTGGTTGTTTCAGGGAATTCTATGGAGCTGCTTTCCGGAAATAAAGGGTGCCCATTACATTTTATGAAACACTGATGTTCTGAAATATAGGACATCTCTTAAAACAAGGGACATCAGGCAACTCAACAGGGGTTGGATTGGGGAGATGCCAGCATTAGGTTCATCCAAGGCCCGGATAGGAGTGGAGGGGGCAGAATGAAGGGCTTTGAAAGGCCAAAGGGAAGGGAAGTAGAGCACTCAGCTTGGCCAAGACTGTTCAGCAGCTCTGCTGAAGCCTTGGTAGGTGAGAATGAAGGGGCAGTGGAGGGCATGGGCAAGTCTCCGTTTGCCTCTGAAGCTCACTGGACGGCCTGGGCAAGATGTTATCATTCACCGACAGGTCGCTTTGAGACTTAAAAGCAAACATAAATCAGAAATGCCTGGGTTTTTTTAGGGGAGAAAGATAAATCAATGAAATGGTTGCACAGTCATAGATCTGGAAAGAAGCTATTTTAATTTCAGCAGACATGTGAGTTTTGTGTCATTTTGGAAAATAAGTTTTTATTTTATGGTTTAGTATTCTTTTTATTTTGAATGACATATGGGGGGAAAACATAATTTTTTCAGAGTTTAGGGCCTCTAACGTTCTTAATCTAGCCCAGTTGATTAAGCATTGACACACAGCTGATGCAAAAGGAACCCTCAGCACAGATACTATGCAGTGGCTGTGCATCAGTGATGAGCCACTATGAAAGAAGCTGGTGGACCTGCACCTATAGAGCTATAGTTCTTCAAGAGGTTTCTCAATCCTGTTTTTGCTCTTCATAGTTTCTTCCCCAAAATTAAGGCTGTCATACATTCGGATTTTCCAAGACTTTACCGAGATTTCAAAGGCAGGTTTGTTTGTTTGTTTGTTTTAAAAAACACACACTAAAAAAACCACAACTCAGCTATTTCAGTGGTTTCCTAAACCCTATCGAAATGAGAATCCATGAGCTATAGGCTTCACCTGCTAATGTCCATAATAGCCACTGGAGGCTCTGGTGGTAAATGCCAAACTGAAGATAGATTCTAGTTTCTCCAAGACAGATGGAGAAAATGGTGGTGGCCGCATCTACAGAGGTGGGTGAAGGAGACCAGGCTCTTTTTCTCCTTTTATGCTACAGAGCTGGTAGCCATTTGCCTCCTCCCTCCCTCCTATGTTTCCAGTTCCCCACAGCTTTTACATTTCTCCAGTCTTCCTTGTTTTACTCTCAGGACTATTATATGTCACTTACTTTGAAGAAATGTCCTTATTTCAGAACCCTCGAGCTCCACGGAGACTCATAAAGCAAATACCCCCTCTCACACAGAGCACCAAAAGTGTCTTATGTTTGGGGGATTTCTGCCTGCTAAATCTCGCTTGCTCTCCTCCCTCTCCGCCCACCCAATGCGGCTGGATAGGCTTGCATATGCTGACACTGGCCAAACAGATGGAGGGGGGAGCTAATGTGTGTGTACATCAGCTGCATCCAGCCCAGACGCTGATCTATAAACTAATCCCACCCTGATCTATAGCCTAATTCACCTAAAACACAATTACAATCTGGAGGAGAAAAATATTGATTTCAAAATTGCTTTGCAGCTGGTGGAATGGAATGGAGGGTGGGGGCACAGAATGGCAGGGGAAAGGGAGCGACAGGCAAACAGCAAAGACCCAGGAGACCGCAAACGTTCTGGATGAAGAACAATCTGTGAGGTAGAGCCATGGCTGTCTAGCCTAAGGAACAACGAGGAGAGTAAGATGGGTGTCGTTTCCTCAGGAATCAGGAATCAACAGCTGGAGGTCCCTGGGCCAAATCTGGTCATTGTGTGTGGAGGGAATGAGAGACTCATCGTGAGAGCACCAGATGGACCAATGAACCCCTTTTCCAGCTATGGTCCAAGTTGGCCAAGAACAAATAGTTATAGCTTGGTGTGATGATGAGCTGGAAGCAACAATGCTTCCGAGTACCAGTTGCTGGAAACCACAGGAGGGGAGAGTGTTCGTGTGCTCATGTTCTTCTCCCTGGTTTCCCACAGGCATCTGGTTGTTCTCTGTGAGGAAAGGATGCTGGGCTAGACAGGACATGAGCCTGTTCCAGCAGGCTATTCTTAAATTCTTATGAGAGGAGGCTGCCAATAAGAAGAGAAGAACTGCCGTGAGTTGCGATCAAAAGGTAGAGTGGCAGTTCATGCAGATGGAGGCTCAGCTGGTTGCTTTGAAGGCAGGGACTTCAGGAGGATGAATCTCGTACATTCTGGAGATCAGTCAGTTGGTAGAGCATGTGACTCTTATTCTCATGGTCGTGGGTTCAAGCCCTATGTTGGGTGAAAGTTTGCTGCACTGCAGGAGATTAGACTAGATTATCATTGTGGCCCCTTCCAACTCTATGTTTCAGTGGGAGGGGGCGTTGCTAAATCTGGGGTGCATCCATTGCAGCGCCAAATTCTGCTAATTGCAAGTGGACCAAGTAGCCATTTTTACTCATTCTGATAATTTGCTAGGGGCCTTGGGAAAGGTCCATAGCTGTCAACTTTTCCCTTTTCTTGCAAGGAATCCTATTCGGAATAAGGGAATTTCCCTTTAAAAAAGGGAAACATTGACAGCTATGTAAAGGTCATTACCTCACTATGTCCCCCTGATACACAGCCCCAAATCTGAATCATGTGCAAAGGAACATAACAAAGGTGCCAAGAGATACAACAGAGCCAACCCAGCCCCTATGCTTTGAAGTGAGAAGCAGAACTGAGGTCAGACTGAGATAAATCATGGGTCTGACTTATTTAATCACCCCAAATTTGATTGGTTAAAACAGGCATAGGCAAACTCCGGCCCTCCAGGTGTTTGGGACTACAACACCCACCATCCCTAGCTAACAGGACCAGTGGCCAGGGATGGTGGGAATTGTAGTCCCGAACATCTGGAGGGCTGGAGTTTGCCTGTGCCTGGTTTAAAACCATGCAACATTCATCTTAATGCAGTGCAACTTTGTGTACGTTTTTCTCTGAATGAAGTTCCAAATTGTTCGATTGAGCTTCCTCCCTAGTTCAGTACTGCAGCCTTAGATTCTTGCTCATTCCTCTGAAAGGCTACATCAGCTATAACTTTACCTGGTATATATGGAGGGTGCTATGGTGACACATATATTTATAAATTCACCATTTCCCCATAGATTTTCTTCACGTTTGTGTGGCTCAATGGATCTCACCAAGACCAAAAAACAAACAAAAATGGGAATGCATGTATACTATCATTTACGGTAATGAGGCTTGCCTTAAATTGGAGAAGTAGGCTTAGGTTTTAGTACTGCCAGAATCTTCCACAGTTGTACCACCAGGAACACAGGAGGGCCCCAAATGCAGCCAGTCTGGCTTACTACAGGTTGAAAGAAATGAAGTAAAGACCATCTAAAGAGTGCAGCACACACAAACACACACACCATTGCAGGACAGCTGCATGGAGCATAATATTCCCCACATGCTTCCAAATCTTCCTGACCCTGCTCCGTTGGGTAATCCATCTCAGTGTGCAATTTATAAGTGACTTATTCAAAGATTTCTAATAATGTGGAATCCGAAACAAAAAAAACCTGTGGTTTATGTATTGCTGCTAGATTCTGTCAACAAGGACATCATTATCATTAACAAATCAAATTATTTTGCAAGACTTGAAAGCTGCTCTGCTGTCAGCCAACTCCAGGCTGAGTCCTCTTTCCTGGCAGCAGCGTTTGAAAGGATGATATATGGCACGCAAAGGGAGGAAGGATATGTTTAATGGCAGATGGAAGTGTTCTATTGATTACACAGACAAGACATGAAATACTGACATAGGTGGCCTGTTATAGAATTTACTAAACATTTATGGAGAGCAGTGGAACACTCAGTGGCTCAACACTCAAAATGCTTTCTCTCTCCCCAGGAAGGCACTGAGAATGAAGACTTTCCTTCTTGTTCCAGACTGCTTGCCACAGTTCAGCTTCTGATATGTCCAGCCTGGGTATTAGAGGGCTGCACTATAGCCAGGAATAAAATGCTGTTCCTATCCCCACCTCAAACGTTCTTGACCTGCACATTTCCTTTTAAGCTTCAGAAGTCTTTTCCAAGTTCCAAACACCAGATTTTTGTATTGCTTGCTCACTCTGGCATGCTAGCGGGTTTTAGTTTTGTCATTTGTGCAATCATTTATGTAATATTTATTGTCAGTTCATAATGATATAATAAATATAATAAATATGGATCCCCAAGGATGTGCTCTACAGGGAGCTAGCTTCAGGCACAGGACTCATGGGTAGACCAACTCTGCGTTACAAAGATGTCTGCAAAGGTGGAGTGAAGGCTGGCAACATCAACCCCACTGTGTGGAAATCCCTTGCAGAAGATCACAGTACCTGGAGACAGTTGTGCATCCATAGCAGTGAGCAGAGGAGAAATGACTGCTGGGAGCAGAGATGGATTATGGGGAATGCAACAAGTTCCATTGCACTGGGCACAGAGTCTTGGGGGCACCACAGGGGTGCCAGAACTATGATGTAGAATGGAAGGCGAGAGGTGAGTGGCACCAAATTTTGGCATCACACAGGGCGCTGCTGAAATTTGAGACCCCAAGGTCCACCACTGCTGGGAGTAGCACAGAGAGAAGAAAGGCCACAGTACATCTGTATCAGCACAACCAGATGCCTTCATCTGCCCCAGCTGCATTAAAACATGTCTCTCCCATATCAGTCCCTACAGCTACAGCAGGTGCTGTAACTCTCCAGTGGTTTGACTTCACCCCCAAAGGCGCACTCCTCCATTTTCTCCCGAGACAGACGGATGCCAACAACTGAATAAATATACTAATTATCTGTGCAAGCATTTTATGAACTCTAGATATTCTACCAATGTTCACAATGTGCCTTAATGTGCATTGAGTTCCACAGGACAACCACAAATCACATCTGTTGACTCCTTGGTATCTTGCTGCTAAATTCATCACGGAAGTCCTAATTCTTGCATTATGGAAGCGAGTAAATAACATAACCAGGATAACTTGGTTCATTCTATTTGTGATCTGATGTAGCATCATTTACTAAGTGAGACAGGCTCAGTAACCCACATATGCTGCCAGGTGAAGCTGCTGGTGGGTTTTATTTCTTATCATGCTTCTGGTTGTCTTAACCTTCTTATCATGCCCATCAGTGTGGTATCAGTTCATTTGGCACAGAGATTGAAATCTGGAGGAAAAAGTAGCACAAAGGTGGCAGCTGGTAAGACAACAGCATCAGATGCATATAATTTCTTTCAAAATTAGATTTATTGAAGTCCTGTCTAGTGGAAATCACTGTAGCATGGAACACTCAGCATATGGATTTGATCATTGACTTATGCCTGACTACATTTTTCATTAGGGGAAATATTGGCTGTGAATGTTTTGACCTCATAATCTCTGTATTTTAAACAATAACCAGTGGAAAACCAAACTAGAGCGGGGAGCTAGACATTTTGTCTCAAGTACTCTATTGTGCTTAGGAATGAGTACCTGTAAAAAATAAAATAGAAATCAGACATTGCTTAAAAAGAGTTCTTTCTCTGCCTTATCACTGACAAGCATAGAGAAATAGAGAACAGGTGGCAATCCCATTTTCTTCAATGGCTAAATGAAGGACGCTCCTGCTTCCAAGTTGAATATATATATATATATATATATATATATATATATATATCAACTGCTTTATCAGAACAGTTTTGCAAAGGAGCTATAGGCCTCTGTGTGCATTGTGGAGGGACAGAATGGTATAAAGCATGGCTAGGGAGGCAGATTCCAAACCCCACCCTCAAATGGCAAATAAAAGATCATTGGGACATGTTTTCAATGGCTGTGGAGATGAAACTACTGAAAGGCCACATAAAAAAAGGGCAGTCTGAGGTCTGCCATGTCTTACCCTCAGAGAGGGATTTAGGATGGTGAGGCCACCAGGAACACAGCCAAAGGATTTGAAGTCCAAGCACTGAACACACCAGGGGATTTGATTGATTTGATTGTGGGGGACTCATATTTAATCCTGACAAAGATCTGAGGGTCTTTCACTGAACTTGTAGTACCAGCTGAAGAAAAGACCAAGGTCAACATTTCTGGTTCAGGTCCCAAATGACCATGACTGAATACCACCATTTTTATAGCATCAGGAGGAAGTGAGATAAAGATCACGCACTTCGTTTTGCCACACCCAAACATGTAGCAGACAGTTTTATAGCAATGGCACTAGACTTAATAAAACTTGCTTTGTATCATTTTAGAACTTTCTTTGTGAGCATTCATTTTCTAGCGCTGGAAGGAATCCTCAACCTGCGTCTCACTTTTGGACAATTTTGATTTGATTTCCAGGTTTTGACATAGCCATTAGTTATTAAGAGAAATTATTTCTATTGTTGTTGGATCATTTTTTAAAAATTAGCTCCAGGCAGCATCACAGAACAAAGAAACAGAATACCCGTGAACAGAGTTAATCACAAATGGCTAATTATTTCACCCCATCTCTCCCTCCCGAAATCATGAAATATTATCCCCATGAAAAAAGGAAAAGGTATCTTCACTCATTATCTCTTCATGGATTTTATGCACCTAATTCATCAAACTAGAAACACTTCCTGCTTGTCTCCTATCAGTTTTGGAATAAAGCTGGTGACCCCACGGATTCTAACTGCTGGAGGTGACGCTTCTAATTTATATCTCCCAGGAAATGCCCCAAACTTATAGTCCTTCCAGCTGTGGACAGAACTTTGAGGAACATTCCCAAATTGAGGCGCATGTTAACATTGCCAGTTTGAATGATTTTCTGTGAAAACAAAGGCATTTAGCTTTGAAAGGTGTTGCTGTGTCTTTAACAACTGCACGGCAGCACAATCTTTAAGCAGATGGGGATGCCACCTCTGCTACATTCTTCACCAGTTAAGAAACATTTCAAAAACAAAGAAACGTAGGAACCAGGAATGCACTACAAGTTCATCATGTCCTTATTTCTGAATGGAATTGTTTCAACAAACATGAAATAGTCAGCAGAATTCTTAGTCTCCTCAAACTTTGGTGATTCTTGTCACAATATGTTAAGAAGACGCTGCTGGATCAGACCAAAGATTTGCCCTGTTCTCACAGTGGCCAACCAGATGTCTGTGGAGAGCTTGCAAGCAGGCCCACAATAGCACTCTTCCCTCCTGCAGTTTCCAGCCATTTATTTATTGCATTTATATCCCATCTTTGCATCCAAGGAGCTTAAGGTGGCATGTACATGGTTCTCCCCCTTCCTATTTGAAGCCCCACAACAACCCTGTGAGGTACGGTAGGTTAGGCTGAGA